GAAAAATATAAACATAAGTACAAGAGTTTTATTTTTTAAATAATTTCATTCAAACAAACCCAAAAAAAGGCTTTGAATAGTATCCCAGTTCAAACTTTATACAAAAGGTGTCCTAACTGTCCTAACTATTTCTATCATTTTTTGTTTAAATAAAATTTGTAAAATCGAAGTCACATATTTTTACTAGAACTTTCTTGACATAAACTTGAAAAGTGTTTTAAAACTTCTTAAATACCTGATTTTAAAAACAGTAAAAATTTTATAGAATAATTTCTATATTTTATCCCATAACGTAATTTTAAACAAATTTTATTGATATTTTTTGAATTTTGTATTTTCAAAAAAATTGCCTCGAAAATATAAGAAATTTCATTCGTATTTAGGAAGGAAGGCTGAGCCCCAAGATATATACAGGGTGTTTCATAGGGATATTTATAACCAAGATACAGGGTGTTCTATCTAGTTTGATCATTTCTTTAATTATTCTTGTCTTACTAACCAGCACATTTTTTTCATATTCACGCCATTTGATAAATAAATATAAATAAAACTTTAAATTACAAAATTAAATTTTTAATTTACTTGTAGACTTTTATCACAAGCTTGGATTTACTTACTTGATTCTTACTATTAATAATTTTGATAAACAAAGGAACAAGTAAACAAAAATTTATGAATTTCCACTATATTTACCTCAAAAACTTTATATATTTGGTTTTGATTACAAATATAAATTTGTATAATAAAATATATTGTAGATCTTCCTTTTCGAAGCGCTACTGACTTCTATCCAAATTTCTTTACTTTTCTTTATCAATGATTTGTTTTTTCTAATATCTCACTTTGGTTCCATCATACTGTATCTAAATTATAAAGAATCAGAGACTTATAGATATGGGATACTTTAGGTATCACCTATCTACTCCTAACGTATGAATCACCCTATATATTATACTTCGAATTATTTCCAAATTTGAATATTTTGAAATCAATTTTTTTTGATATATTAAAAATAGTACTGCACTGTTTTCTAGTAAAAAAGAATCTATCTCTTACCTATACATATCAAATTATTATTTTTTTACACATACGTACGTACCTTTAGGTAATATGTTATGACACCCAGTATACCTGTCCTAGTTTAGGAATTTATAAATAAGGATTAGTATTAATTTATACATAGCAATATTCATGTCACCTTTCCAAAGAAAATATTTCTTTATCTTTTGGATCTTCTGAGAAAATTTACAAAATTTAAGTTTATTAAGAATTCCATTCCAATTAAGAATAAATTTATATTATTTACATGCAATTTGGTATATCATTTATAAGTTAATTAGTAATTAAATTCTCTACTTTCCAAATGTGTAGAATTAGTGATTAAAGAGAAATAAATACAGAAGTTCTATTTCCTTTTTACAAAATCTATAAAAGTCTAAGTTTTATAGAGTCCACTAATGAATCTTAATTAAAATATTCGATCTTTTAAGACTTTTGCGTTGGTACCAAAGCAAAAGACGAAAAAGGATACTTATTTGTGTATCAAGGCATAAAAAAATAGCAAAAGTTTAAATTAGTACAAAAGACGGAAACTAATTCACAAATGCAGAGACTATAAATATGTCATTTGTCAAATGAGAGAAGTATATTGACTTGAATATAATCTTATTATTAAAATAATTAAAAAAAAGAATCAACCATTTATAGTAAAACCAGAGTTAAATTTGTTTGTTTATTTACATCAAACAACAGCAATTAATAATTGGATATTTGGCTCTGCTATCATCGATTTTTCACCAGATCTGAAGAAATTTATAGAGTATAGATCTGGCAATATCACACTGCATAATTCAATAGTTAGTATGCCTATAAACTTCCCTTGAATGGGTGCCAGGACATGAGGGAGTGTTTGGAAACGAGAAAGCAGACCTCCTACAACATCAACTGCTAAACCTTAGCAGAAGCGAACTCAAGGCCGTAATAGGACTCTTTACGGGACACTGCGGCCTTAGAAGACACCTAAATCTCTTAGGGATATCTGATGACTCCCTATGCAGAATATGTGAAGAGGAGGACGAAACTCCTATTCACATACTATGCCACTGCCAGAACCTTAAATGGGAACGGGAATGGTACTTCGGGGTACAATATCCGGAACCTGAAGAAATCGCGAAAACGCCCATCAGACATTCTTGAATTCATCAAGAAAATCAATCTGATGGGATAGAAACTGTGAGGGGTACAATAAGACTAGAGCTTCAGTACAAGTGGGCTTTGAACCACGCCCTAATTCAGATGATGATGCCTATAAACTTGATAAAAAACGGCAACACCGCTTTTCCATTGATTGAAAGACCCTTTATATAAAAGCAATGATATTTCGCCTCTAAAGGAAGTGTCTGAGGAAATAAAAAATCTCTTGGTTTTGACTCCAAATAAAGAAATTGTAAAAATAATTCTTCTAACTATCCTGTTATCTGTCTTAAGAGATCTATCGATCGCAGAAGAAGCGGTGTTGCCTTTTTTCTGTTAAATTTCTGGGTAATTATCAGGCGGACTTATTATTGAATCATGTGGTTCGGTGTTGCCAGGATTTACTCTAAAAATTTCTCCTTATCTGATGAACAATCGATGACATCGGAGGCAAGTGTCTTACAGCAATTGACAGCAGTGCCGCGATTTGCTCAAAATGTCAAACATTAAATATTAGTTGTTAAAAGCACGTTTAAAATATCTAAAGCAGCAAAATTTGTATTTAGTTGTACTTACGTTTAATTTGTACTTTTTCTCCAAAGGACCCCGCACCAATTCTTGTGTTAGTTCGATAAAATTAGAGGTTTTATGATAAATGTCAAATATTCGCAGTAGACTCTGCTGTCAGTTAACTTGTCAATGATAATTTAAATATTCAAACTTAAAAACAATCTTTTTCTAATAATTATTTGTAATTTGTTTGATTTTAATGATGGCTTATCAAAATGTAAAGCTAAACTGATACCAACAGCAAATATATTGTTATGGTGTACGGTAAAAGGTGACAGCACTTCTTCGTCTCGAATAACTGGATTACTGGAACCTAATTGGAGTCAACGGGGAAAATATGGACCATGGTATGGCGTTAACTTTTCAAAGTAGGTTTACTTCCCCCTGACAACTGAATGAAGTGGATCAGGTCGTTAATTTTCTTGAGGACGGTGTTCCGTTGTAGTTTCTGACAAAGTCCTTTTCGGCGCTACATCCATACTGGACAGCCTCTTTTAAAACGTGTCCCTGTGGCATACATGTCGATTTTAGCTTTTGTTTTATCGCTGTTGACATTAAATTCTCTTAAGTTCTGTATGTATGTGGCAGGAGTACGGCCATCTTCTTCGCCAGGAAACTGTCTTTCAGAAAGAAAATCATGTGGAAGTTTCATATCCCTTCCAAAATCATCAATGATAAAGTATAACTGGTCAATTAATGTTTAGAGCTTCGGTAGGCTAGCAGAAATAGAGGAATTAAAGTGTCCCAGTCCTTTTGGTTCTCAGAGACGAATATTGAAAGATACTGGCATATGGAAATGCACTGCGCCATTTTAACTCGGCTTCTTGTTTTAGGCCCTTGTCTGCCATTGCAGAGATTACATTTCTTACACCAATCTTCTATATCCTGTCGGCAATTAACCCAATAAAATCTTTCCCAAACTCGTTCCAGTATCGTTTTAGTATCAAAATGTCTGGGAGGCTGAGAACCTTAGAGGCTTCTATGAAGTTTCTTTAACACACCTCTACTCCATCAGGGTTTTCCCACTTCCGGTACAATAGGCCATCCTGAAGATACACGAAATCTCACCGAGTCCAGTACCTTTTAATAGTTCCACTATATTTGGCTCTCTCTTGCCAACTAGGTCTGAGCCATTCTTGGACAACCTTCAACATTGTCTTTCTTTTGAGTCTCTTTCAGGCTTTGCAGGGTGATTCCGTCTTCGTCATCCTCTGGCTTGATAGTGATTACCCGAAGACTGACTGCTTCAACCGGCTCCTCCCGTTTTTCTATCCTTTCTAAACATCTTAAACATAGTCGCCTGAAAGAAATATCTGCGACTAGGTGTGGGTGACCAGCTTTTCCGGGAGGCATATCTGCTGTAATTATTTTTTGTTGGACTTCATGATGGGCTTCGGGTGGTTGCTCTAGGTGAATTTCTGATCTCATTCCCCGTTTCTCAATTTATAGAACGAGCCTTGTTTCTACAGGTTCTTTAAAGGTTCTCTTCCGCAATTACAGCACATTCTGCTCTCATTTTGGCTATTTCGTTGAATGTTTTGCAGGATATTGAGGATTTGTAAGAGAGTAGGTTAGGGGATAGTATTACTAGTGACCTCTTCACTTTTCTGGAATCTGATTTCTCTCAATTTTGCGCGAGAAGAGCTGGATATAATTTTTGTTGCTTCGTATTCCTGGGCTGCAATCAGTATATCTCACTCAGCGTCTTGTGGAATTAGAAAGAAGAAGTCGGTAAAAAACATTGAAACTAAAAACACCACCTCGTCTTCATCTATAACCGAACCAAGCCACATTCGAACCCTAGTTTCACAAAACCTTACCGGCAAGACCGTTAAGCCACCCTTGGGACGAAAATAACAATCTCCTTCGTGTAGACATTGCAGATCGCATTCGAGATGAAGCCTTAAAATGCCGGTTAAATATAGCTTGCAAAATGCAAAATAATTAAGGATTGATGCGGGATTCTTTGTATTAGTAAAGTGTCCTTATCATAGAATCCTCCTTAAATTTTATTATAGAATTGGTCATTGTATTATATAAGGTCTGATTATGCCACTAATAAGGTAGAAACTGGTTTTGTACGTTTACTTTTATAATTATAGTATTGGTTTTAATATTTGCTTCTTCATTAATTGCTAGACGTAGATTAATACTAATTCTTATTTTCGCTGAAGTAATAGAAACGATCTGGGATGCCAATGAATGCCAAAATAAAAACATTAACAATTTTATTCCAGCCCGATGATAGGAATAGCAGAATTCAAACACATAGAATATTTCGACGGTTCCAAGGTACCAGCCTGCCACACTCTAGCCAACACTTTCTGGTCCGCCTTGTATTTCCTCAGCAGTATTTTCCTATTTTTTATAGTTCCTTTAGTACTACTCCTAATATTGTATTTCGTAATAGCCAAAAATTTAATTTCAAACGCTGCGACGTTAGTGTTAAATAAACATATAGACAATTATTCAATAAGAGCTAGAAGACAAGTAATTTTAATGTTAGGAACCGTAGTTTTAAGTTTTTTCCTGTGCTTAATACCATTTAGAATATTCATCTTCTGGATAATCGTAGTACCAGAAGAAAATGTATTTAAATTAGGTGTGGAAAAGTACTACAATATTTTGTACTTTTGCAGAATTATGGTGTACTTAAATTCGGCTGTCAATCCAATTTTATACAATCTAATGAGTTCGAAATTTCGTCACGGTTTTGTAATTTGCTCTGATACAAACAGGCACTTTTTTAGAAGATCAAGAAACGGCACTACTAGTACAACAGCTACTAGAAGTAGCAGCACTTTCAGAAGCAGTCACGATAGTTACAATTACAGGGTGTGTTACAGACCGAGACATTTAATAAAAGGTTTTAGCGAGTCACCTGATTCAACCAAAAGTACAGATTCTCATTCTGTAATATTAAAAGATATGACAGGAAATAGCAAATCGTTAAAAAATACTAGTATCGATGAAGAATACGACGATTTTGATCTGGATACCCATGAGAATCCAGATTACAATGTTTTTACCGAAAAAGTGATTATGTACAATCAAGAAAGACGGAGAGAATTTCAAAATTTTTTTCAGGAAAATTGTTGCAATGAGGAACAAATAGATCTCAAGGAAAAATTTGTCAAAAGAAATCGTAGACACGAGCAAGAAAGTTTCGTTTGAGGGAATATTTAATTAAATTAAATTAAATGTTTGACAGACAAATTGATGATGTTCAAATCACAAAATTGGGAGATACATAAAAAGGGTGCATGTAAATTGGTTCCCATGTTAATGAGGATTGAAAATAACATGTAAATTAGTTTCCAACATTTTGGGTTTACCTGACGTTTATTTAAATTGGTTTCCTGCAATAAAATTTCGGAATAATTAAATTGAATAGATAGTTTTTGTAAAAGTAAATACGTTTATTATTTGAAATGTAAGTACTATTGGCTATTATAGTCAAAAGATGCTTAATACATTTAATTGCGAATGATACACTAATCTTTTTATTCATAAATTACGAAAAGACAAATTGTAAATTTAATAAAATTTAATGTAGCATCGCAAGATGTTTTTGTTGAGTTGTCCGAATATTTGTCTAGTACTCGAGTATGGATCGTTATCTAACATGACACAAATATTTAAAGATTTGTTTTTAGTTGATGTAATTCTTCTACGCCTTCATTTGGATAAATCTTTTACTAAACTATTTTATGTATTATTTTAACTTCCGCGGAGAAAATGTAAATGTAGCTGTAACTCTAAAATTATGGCATTTAGGTATTCAATTGACCATAATACTAAAGACGAAAAATCAGCTAAATAAAGAACTAAAAAGGTTTATAGTTAAAATACAGCAAGCTGCATGGAGGAACACACCAAAATTAAGAAGATTAACAGCTGGAAAAAACTATCCTGTCGAAATAAGATAACTAGTAGCAGATAAAAGAAAACTAAGAAAGAAATTCTTTATTATCTCTTTATTATCTCTTTATAGTCTCTTTATTGTCTCTTCAATGTCTCTTTATTGTCTCTTTATTGTCTCTTTATTGTCTCTTTATTGTCTCTTTATTGTCTCTTTATTGTCCATTTATTGTCCATTTATTGTCTCTTTATTGTCTCTTTATTGTCTCTTTATTGTCTCTTTATTGTCTCTTTATTGTCTCTTTATTGTCTCTTTATTGTCTCTTTATTGTCTCTTTATTGTCTCTTTATTGTCTCTTTATTGTTTCTTTATTGTTTCTTTATTGTCTATTTATTGTCTGTTTATTGCCTCCTTATTGTCCCTTTATTGTCTCTTTATTGTTTCTTTATTGTCCTTCTGCTCTCTTTTAAAGACAAACATATACGTTAGGGTCTGCTGTACAGGTCTGCCTGTACAGGTGGCCTGCGCAGGTTAAGCACATATACATAGTAGGTTCAAAAAACTACACAGGTTAATACACGCTCCGGTCTATCTGTGCAGGCACACCTGCACAGGCAGGCCTTTCCGGTAAACCATGGCGTATATGCCCGCCATTATTGTCCATATGCTGTCCCTTTATTGTCCCTTACTCATCCTTGTCGTCCCTTAGTGTTCCTTAGTGTCTCATATTATTCATCATTGTTCCTTATTATCAATTATTGTTTTTGATTGTCCCCTAATGCCCCTTATTATTCATTATTGTTTCTTATTGTCCTTTAATATTTCTCCTAATATTTTTCCCAATATTCCTTCTAATATTCTTCCTAATATTGTCCCTTATTGTCCCATATTGTCTCTTATTATTCCTTAATATTGTCCCTTATTGTTATGGAAACCAATTTACATATTATTAACTGATATTAGGTACTAACCTATAATCTGTTACGTACTAGGGAACTAATTTATCAACACCCCATAAAAACGTGTAAAGATTGCAGAAGTCTAATCTATTAGAATTTTTGGTATGGTAAAACCGAGAATTCGTAAAAATTTGCTAAAAACTATTGTAGCGTATTATAGTTGTACTGCATGAATGTAAACCAAAGATTTTAATGTTATAGCTGTTGATAAATAAAGTTTAAAATATTATTGATTATCATTTCCTTAATCGCTCATTAAATAAAAAATAATCGTAATTTAAGTTTGTAATATTAACGTGAAGAAATCCATAAGATTTTAAAATACAAGAATAAGGACGTTTTGCTTAAGAACCAACCATCAATTTTATGTAAGTATACATTTTGTCATTTTTCTGTATCTACAGTTTTTTCAAAGTCACTTGATATATCTTTTGAAATTTCTCAGTTATTACGATTCTTCTTCAACTATCTTTGGAAAAACTGTACCTTTTTATTTTTGTAGTATAGGTAGATTCCCAATCATTTGAATGTTGCACCGTTTACATTTTCAAATGTAAATATTTGTTAAATATATTTTAGAAAAAGTAGTTAGGATCATTCCATTGAATATATTTCATTGCGTCAAGTCTAGTTTATAGTAAAAATGCTGTAAAAATAAGCCAATTACACTATATAGAATAGTTTTAGTTTTAGGTTATCTACCAGATATATATTTTAATCAAGTAACTCTAAAATTAATAGACATTATAAAAACTAAATGAATTTGTTTGATTTTAAAGTTATTTGTTTACTAAAATAGTCAATAAATAAGGTTTTCCTATACATATCTTTTGAAATTATATAGGAAAACCTTAGATTATACATAACCAATGCTTCTTCCAATGCAATTATCACCTATATGCAATTTTAACATAATTAGGCCACTAATAAATAACTATATATTTGTATAACACAAAAATTACTGACGCTTTGCTATAAAAAGTCACAAAAATTAATTCTAAATTAATATGTCGTATCTAAATTGTTTTTAATAATTTGTTAGTTTAACCACTGTAAAAAATATACAGAGTTGGGCAAAATTTGCTCAATAATGGACTGTATTAATAATTAACCCGAAAAAGTTGTACACGGGATCCTTACTATTTCATATAGACAGTCATTCAATAACTTATACATATAAAGCAAATAATTTTTATATCTGCTAATGAAGATCTAAAAATGGCTTATAAAACAAACTTATTTTTAATGATATTAAATAATCTTTATTCTCTATTTCGTTAATGGAAAGGCAAAGGTGCATAAGTCGAAAAATTAAAAACAATGGAGGTGATCTTACCTCTCTAAATTTTTTGATAGAGAATGTGGCATGAATAATCTTGACGATACAGAATTATCAGGACGAAGATGTATTAGCTTCGATACAAAAAATACTTGGGATATGCCCCAAGATGAAATGAGAAAAAAGATCAGTTATTCAGTGGTATACATGGTTCTAAAGAATAGGAGTATAAGGGCCTAGAACCAGGGAGAGAAGTGTATCTGGTTTAACATCGAGAGAAACAGTGGAATAACCAAAAATTTGAACAATCTCTTGGGGCTAGGACAGTCTAAGTTACTTCCAGGTAAATATAACCAGAAAAGATCGGAAGCCTGTATTTCCCTGAGCAAGAACATTTTACGTATTGTAACAGGGATCCTTACTGGGCATTGTCGACTCAAAAGACACCGTAGTAAACGGAGAGTAGTACAAGATAGAAAGTGCAAATTATGTGAGGAGGAAGAGGAGGAGGACGAAACCTCCATTTACATTCTGACTAAATGTGTGGCACTCTAGAATCCAAGAGCACTATACCTAGGAGCATATTAAAAAGAAGCGGGAGATTTTCCTAACTTCAAGTCATTCCAACTCCTACTCTTCCTTGAGATAATAGGATTGGAAGGGTCGTTATAAGCTTGGAGACATTTCCTTGCTGCATTAGCGACAGAAGGGGGTACAATAGATCTTAAATATCGCAGTGTAATAACATCCCATTCCCAACATAATATACCCATGAGTCGAAAAATGCCCAATTAGAAAAATGGATACACTAATATACATACGCAATGCACTATACACTAAAAGTTTACGCCTCTTTATCTTTCTAGTGACGAATTCTTTTATCTGATATTTACAGAGTACTATAAGGATTAATTTTCTGACAGTAGAATTTTCAAGAAATTAAAAGTTTCTTCGTTTATTCCATCAATTGTTTTTATTTTCTATAATTTAAGCACTACATATATTCAATCATGAAATAGTTTTAGTGTTGTATTCAGAAGAACAAAAACAAAATTTATCAAAAAATATTAAATTACTTGCATTAAATAGGTGATTATTGCAAAAATATTCTGCTAAAATATTAACAATACTTTATTTTTTCAGCCCTATCTTGGCGATCACCCAGTACAGCACGGAAGAGTACATAGACGGATCCCTAGTATTTGTCTGTTTCAGTCTAGTCGAAGACCTCTTTCCCTGTATCTTTTTCGTAGGCTCTGTAGTAGTTTTCTTCATTTTTCCCTTAGGTATATTGATATGCATTTACGCCCTTATAGCTACCTCTCTAATGTCGCAACCTCTTGTGATGATAGCTCAAAGATCTTCCACTTTGCCTACACAAAACGTCCAAAAATATCGTAAGCAAGTCATAGTGATGCTAGGGACAGTTGTTCTGGCTTTTTTTGTATGCTTGTTGCCTTTCAGAGCTTTGACTCTGTGGATTATTATAGCGCCAGCTGGATCTAGCTTCGAGCTAGGTTTCGAAAGGTACTATAATATTCTATATTTTTCTAGAATTATGTTCCATATTAATTCAGCTGTTAATCCTATACTATATAATATAATGAGCTCGAAATTTAGAGGAGGGTTCTTTAAGTTGTGCAGTGGAAAGAAGATGAGAAAGAGGTTAGTAGATACATATTTTTAAGAGTGTTAATTTTAGCTCTATCAATGGTTAAAGATTATTTCTCATTTTTTACACCCATACACCTGAAATTGTATATAAATATTTTGAGGATATAAAACAATTACTTATAGAATTTTTCCAAATTTTTAATTGTTTTTATGTCTTTCCTTTAAATTAAAATTACATTCCATTCTGAATCGTTATCATGAACACTTTATATTGTAAAAAAATTGTATTCTATATTGGATTGTTCTGGTTTCAATTTTTTATCTCTATTCGTTTTTATATATTGAACATTTTTCCAAATATTCACTTGTTTTTTTATGGCTCTTCCTTAAATTAAAATTACATTTCATTCGCTTTAAAGAAAATACCTTGTTGCCAGAGCTACCCTGTATGTCACCGAGAGCTTCAGCTCGAGGGCTTTAATCAATTAATTATTAATGCCAAAATTATGTAGAATCAAATTGTAAAATGTTCGAGAAATTGAGCAACAACAAAAATAGCAGAATTTTAATCAAGGTCGTGTTATATTTGGAACGACTATTTCACTAGACCAAATATCGACTATTTCTCTAGAGAAATTAATCTGAATACATTAAGGGGGCGACCTTTCGCATCTCAAAAATCATTAGAATTTGGAGGAAAAATTTCATATAAATTTAGGTGAAAATAGTCATCTGTAATAATGTATAAATAAGTGATGATTATATTATATAACGCTGCAATCTTAATTTCTAATACCTATAACAATATTTAATATTATTGGACTGCAAATTTTTTACCGTTTTGTCATTTTAGGTACTTGAAGAAACCAGAAATTACCAGAAAAAGCACCAGCTCCTCGACGCATACATCTTCTCAGCAAACTTCAGATAGTTTTCTCAAAAGCGGCAGAAACCATTCCAGACAGTCTAGCAGTCTGAAGGAGGTCAAGGAAGAGGAAGAAACGTCGAAGAGTCCTAAGACTAGAAATTTAGTAAAGAATGTATATGTTAGAGCACCAATAGAGATCGTTGCGGGTATAAACGGTGAGAAACTTCCTAGTGGAGAAATATATGTATAGTAGTTAAGAAATGACTGTGTAGATGATAAGCAAATACAGGGTGTTTAGTCTAATATACTGTTTAAATAGTAACATTTATGATTCACTTTTGTTTTGACATTGTAAATCAAAGCAGGAACAATATTGGGGATATCAAAAATGTGAGTAGTGGCTGAAAAATTTATCATTCTCTATAGCCCAGTTATGCAAATTTGGCCCGTTTTAATTTTAGCAAAGCAATATGAGGACATTTATATGTTTAATTTCAACAGCTATGTGAAAGTTAAATAACGTAGAGCATACACTAGAAAAAACTCAATTTACATATTTTTTTGAACTTATTTTCAGTATTATTTAATTCTATTCCTAACGGACAATGCTCCCGTGATATATTGAGGGTAATACCAGAAGAACTTAAATTTAGGCTTCTCTTAAAAAAATATACAGATGCAGGTATCAAGTTTTCGTATTCCAAAAAATATCTGCAAATTCGCAATAAACCACAATAAATTTTGCTAATTTGCAGATATTTTTTTGGAATACGAAAACTTGATACTTGCATCTGTAAGTCCGCCATATTTGCAGATCTACAAAGTTGCCGCCATATTTGCAGATCTGCAAAGTTGCAGACGTTCTGTAATCTTACCCTTAGTCTGATACAAGTCAGATGAGTCTACCCAACTTTTGTTTGGAATATCGTTATAAGTTTCATCCAAATACACTACTGTTCTGCCAGCCTCTCTAAAATCATTTATTGCCAATAAATATTAAAATCTCCATTGCTTGAGGCGCACACATTCCATTATGACTTTTTTGCTGTTATTAATTTTTTTAAATTTAGACCCGTTTCTTAAAAGAGACTTCCTTAAAGTTTCTTTGCTACACTGGATGCTAGTTACGTCATATATTTTCCTTCGAATTAGGTCTACATCACAGCCATCTAATTTCTTTGAAGTACCAGAGTCTTTTCTTTTCCTTTTTTTTTTTAAATAGGGTTACTTACTATTTTAAATACTGTAGAATACGGCGTTTTCGTTAAAGAGGCAGTTTCTCGCACTGCTTGTCGATTAGTGGTATTGCCACCACCAGTTGAAGTACTGGCTGTAGGTTGAAACCATGGACGGAACATTTTTCACTACATAAAATTTTTAAGACATTTCGAAATAACCGCAACTGATACAACGGAATATTCGTTAATGACTGAATTTAGTTTAACTACTATCCTCCTTTCGTTTCTAAAAACGGTAATTGGTCAGTTCTCAAAACAGTTACATACTAACTAACTCCCCATTATTTATTTAACTTTCTCTAATCTGTCTGGAATTATAGGACTCGATATCTTAAACAGTAGTATTCTTGTCTTCCAAGTCTGGTAATTTATTTGTAACTCTATATCCCATTATCGCTAATCTCCTTAATAGACGTTAAGTACAGAAAATCAGGCAAGAAAATTTTATTTATAAGTACTTTAAATTCTAGGAAATTTTTTATTATAAAAATAGTTTTACATTTAAAACTGTTAACAATTGAAATAAAGAGCCCTCAATTATAATATTATTAAAAAAAACATATTCTTTACTATTTCATGAGAACATATATTTTAATCCGGACCTGGGAATCTTTTAACCAACAGACAATTTTATAATAGTGAAAATGAGGGTTGTCGACTAATATGATTTATGAGAGTCACTAGATCTCTGGTTTTACTATATCATAGATCCCGGATAGCATAAAGTTGTCTTACAGACTTTTTAAGATGCCTTGAATTATATTGGTCTGTGAAGCTTATGTACATTATTTTTATTCTACTAGATTTATGACCTGTCAAATATCTTAAACCATTGGTTATTAAAATTAGTGGAATAACCTTGCCGGTTATAAATAATGCAAAAATAGAAGCAAAAATATTTATTGATTATATATCTATTAATTACACGACACTAAGAGTTATTTTATTTGTAGCATATTCGATAACACCTCTTTAACCATAACTGGATTGATTTTTCTCTTTCTTTTTGATTTGTAGTCACCATTATTAGCAGCTCCTAAAAAGAAATTTAGGTAAGAGCATTCTTGTCACAGAAAATTACACTTTGCAAAAGTTACTAAAAAGAACACTAAACAATTCTTATAATTATAATTCATTTTTATAAAAAAAAAATAATTCAGCCTTGACACTCTGGAACTGTTTCGCCCTGTATATTATAAACGATTAGTAACGTTAAAGAAGGAGAGTTTTGGACTTTACTAGGTGTAAAAAGTTTTGAATATATTGCACATCTTGAAAATATTGTAAACTGGGTCTAATTGACCCCTAAAAATTTAGGTAAAAAGGTTTCTTCAATTTTTTTACTTTGTTGAATTCATTAATTTGAATTTTATAACTTGTGACGCCTTAGATTCGGAAAGTACTCGGATTTTTTAATGTAGTTAATAATCCACAATCTTCCGATACTGCTCAGGTAACACTAGATGAAGATACAGATATTCCAGGGGTCAAAAGGTTGATTTTGAAATACTTTTTAATTTCTTAAACATCAACAGTTTTTTTTTAACTTGAATGTTACCTCTTTTTAATTTGAATTGAATTTGTTTAATTTTGAAATTACAGTTATTTTGCTTCGATTTACTTACTTTGATTATTTGTATTTACATGATTTTTAAATTTAATTAAATTAACTCTCACATTTATTAGATTAAACACTCTGAATTTTATTAAATATATTATTTAACATTTAGATCAAATATGAAACTTAATTATTTATTATCATATTTATTAATATTTATTTCTGAATCAATTTTGTGTTTCTACCAAGAATTTTTACTTTGTCCACCGTTTTACTATTAACGATATAGAAAATCAGTAGCGTAGCCACAAATTTACAAAGGAGGGCAATACATGTATTTATTATTTTTTATATGATTGCAATTATTTTAATTATACTTTCTGATCAACTGCGGGAGAAGGAGGTTGACCCCAAAACTCCCGTGGCTACGCCCCTGTAAAAATTAATTTCCTTCAAACCAGCTAAGTTTTGATTAAAATTTGATATTATAAATAAAATGTTCAATATTCAATTTATTATGACACTTGGGTAGAAAAATAAATCGAAACCGTTGTGCATTAATTAGGATTTTTAATATCATTTTAATTTGTGTAATGTGCCATAATTAATTACTGAAATTAATATTTACTAAACGTGGAGACGATCGGGTTAAATTTTTTATTAATATAATTTAAAAAGTAGATATTGAGTGACAGATCGGTTTTAAGTCATTTGAAAATATTTAAAAAAATGTATATATTATAGACAATAGGAAAATGTATTGGTGCTATTTTAATATTTAGAATTGTTTTTATACAGGGTGTTGTCACATTTACAATTTTTTGTTTTAATAAGTACATATATACAAAGTGACTTTTTCAACAACGATCAAAATAATATTTATAATAAAAAATGGGAGACACTCTGTATATAAATGTAGAACAATTTAAATTGTTAACTGTTTCGTATGTTTTGTTTTGCAAAATTTTAAAATGTGTTCATATTTATAAGCTAAAGTAGGGCATTTTGTTGTAAATAAGAATTATGATAAAGTGATCCAATAGAAAATATTTCTAAAGCAGTTAGAGATTATTTTAATTCTTTTTTTTTTTAACTGACAGTTTGGATCTATATCTTTGTCTATCATGGGCCTATTTTAGAAACATTTTTCTATGGATTACATGTTAAGGGTAACCAAAAATGAGCAAATGTGTTTTATATTGCTATATAGAATTTACTAAATGTTATTTTGATTTATTTTTAATGTTGTTTATCAGATGAGACTGGGTAAATACTTTTTGGCGATTAATACTTTATATACCTCACACGTTTGGACTTTTAGATCGCAGAAGAAGATTTGACTGATTTTTAAATACTTATACTACTCGTTTTCAATTAGTAGCTTACTAGCAGTACCTATCATTTTTTTTATTAATTTGTAACTGCCAAATCATCTTTCCTGGTTATTTTTACTGACAGTGACTTTTTCACAGAACAGCAGTTTTCTGTAATTGACAACTGACATAATGGCCTCTTTCTAATTAAGTAACTAATCTTAACTACAATTTAAGTTACACAAGAAATGTATTTAGCTGTTAGTGAGCAATTTTTACCCTCAAATTGCAACTCTGCTGCCTCTTAAACTCTTAAATTAAAGAACTGTTCTTTATTTCATTCATTTATAATTGAGTATTCTAATATTGTTTTGACCATACTTTTCATCTAGCTCAGCGACTTGGTAAGTGCTTTAGACGTTTGGACTGATAAGGAAAAGATTTAGGTATAAAAAAAAATGAATAATTTATAAACAGTGGCGTAGCTAGGTGGATGCATTACCAGAGTTCTTTTTTTTACATTTCCCATTTTTTATACACCTATATATAGTTGAGTCCCGTCCTAAGAAGCTTTTGCTACGCCATTGTTTATACAGGGTGTCCCAGAAAAAAGTGCAATAATTTTAACCGACCTACGAACACACACGACAAAAGTTCAAGAGCCGGTTTTAAAAAATTTAAATAGCAAATGACGCGATAGATTCTGTAGAATTAATTTTGACGTGATTTGTTACTCCAAAATTAAATAAATTGTAGGGTTGACGTCTTTATAACTGTTGCTGCTGCTATAGATTTATAATAAGAAATCAATCAAAATTAAATTATTATAAATTGTATTTAAATGTCTCATTTTTCACCCGAATATTGCGCGTCTCATTTTTACCCCATATGACCCTAGTTTTATAACAGAACCAAATTTTATAACACAGTGGAAATAATCTGGACCAGTAAACTGTATTTTAATCTAATTAACAAAATTAATCCGAAAAATAAGAAAGTGTATTATGAAATCTAAAAAGGTGAAGTTTTGTAACCAAGGCTACCACTAAAAAGTTAGGTATCACACCTTTCAACCTTCATGACAACAATGTAAACCTTTTCTAATTAAATTTTATAATTTTTCTTTAAAAAGTTACATTAAACAAAATTGTTGCTGTACCAGATACTAGGGCTATTAGAAATAAACTCATTTGACAAAAGTTGTTTATTTTAATGCGCTAAATAGGTGGTTAAAATTATGATACTTTTTTCTGTATATTATATATTCATTGTATATTAT